TGTGGTATTTGGAATACTATTGTTCCATAAGAAATGATGAGCAGGCAGACTTCAGAAAAACCTGGAAAGACTTATATGGAATGATGTTGAGTGAATTGAGCAGAACCAGGAGAACGTTGTAAACAGTAACAGCCACGTTGTGTGATGACTAACTTTGATAGACTTAGCTTTTTTCAGCAATGCAAGGATCTAAGACAATTCCAAAAGACTCATGATAGAAAATGCTATACACATCCAGAAAAAACCATGGAGTGTGAATGCAGATGGAAGCGTACTATTTGCTCTCCTTTTCTTCTGTTGTTTTGTTTTATTTCTTTCTCGTGGTTTTTCCCATTAGTTCTAATTCTTCTATACATCATGACTAATGTGAAAATATGCTTAATATGAATATATAAGTAGAGCCTATATCAGATTACATGCCGTCCTGGGGAGGGGGAGAAAATTTAAAACTCAATCTTATGGAAGTGACTGTTGAAAACTAAAGAATAAATTATTTTTAAAAAATAAAAAAAAATCATGTGAAAACTAAAAATTGCCAATAAATTTCTTTTGAAAGTTTACTGCATTCATATTTTGGATGGGGATTAAAATAGGAATTAAAGATAAAATTTTAGGCTTACCTAAGAAATCAAGCATCTGAAAGTTACTTTTAAAAGAATTGATAAAGGGATGAGGAAACTGTTGTTCAAGTTATTCCCATCAGATTTTTTTGCCCTATTCATGAATTTTAGAATTCATCTCAATTATGTGTGATAAATAAAAATGCCATGTAACAAGTTGTTTCATATACATTTCTCATTGAATAGTGGATACATATACATATAATTTAACAAAGTAATAAAGTAGAAAAATCTCAGTGCCATTATTTTAAAAACACATTAGAAATATTTTGTTTATAAAGTAGAACTCGTGGGGTAACCTTTAACAATAGCTCAGTGGTAGGCAGTTTTGGAGTGTTTATAGCCTATTGGAGGTATATTTTATAAAAGCAACTTCTGGCAAGTCAAGCTAATTCAATAAACATTTGATAAATGTCTCTTAAGAATGAGAAAATTAAGTGAAGTTGGATACAATATTATATAATGAGTTATTTATTGAAGAATTAGATATGGTATAGACATACAGGATGGGTCCTTAGACATCTAGAGCATACTCTTTTGACTGATACTGGTGATGTCATTTCCTAGTTCATGGTAAGAAATTAAGCTTCCCCTTATTTTGCTTATATATTTAAGTGTGTATGTTTAATTATTTAAGAAGTTCAATTAAATTGGTGAAATTCACTAAATAGTTACTTTGTATGCTCTTGGAAGGAAATATCTTTCTATACCTTTACATTTGGTTGTTGTTCTTTTGACTTTTTTATCTTTGTTGTTCCAGCATAAGGTATCTGTATGTTTTAATCTTAGTTTAGCCTTCTTATTGGCTCTTAATGTACTGTATTTATTTGGAGTGTTAAAGAATTAAGATCTTAAGAAATATGTGTAATTAATGACTAACTTTGATAGACTTAGCTTTTTTCAGCAATGCAAGTATCTAAGACGTCTCCAAAAGTCTCATGATGGAAAATGCTATCCACATCCAGAGAAAGAACTGTGGAGTTAGAATGCAGATCGAAGTATCCCATTTGCTCTTTTTTTTTTCCCTTCTGTTTTGTTTCCTCTTTTTTGTGGTTCTTTCTCTTGGTTCTGATTCTTCCTTACAACATGACTAATGTGAAAAGTGTTTAATAGGAATGTATATGTAGAGTGTATATCAGATTACACATTGTCTTGGGGAGGGAGGGGGAGAAAAATTTAAAACTCAAAAGCATATGGAAGTGATTGTTGATAAAGTAAAATAAATTAATAAAAAAATATGCATAATCCTTGGTACTAGAGCCTGCTGAAATGCTGTTCTTGAGGTCTCAATTAAAAGTGCTGCCAAGAGAATAGAAAAACAATTTTTTCAATCATCTGGTAGAAGGGAAAATAGAGAACTTAGCTCATAAATAAAAAAATGCTCTACTAGTAATTTTTTCCCATATTCTTGGACTTCTCTCAGAAATAAAACAAACTTGCTAGAGCCAAACACTTCAACATTTTGGTGTCATTTTCACCCCTAGGCTCCATACAATACTACTTAAAGCCCCACTAAGGAAACAGACTTGGGAATTTTTAGTGTTAAACCCTTCCCTTCTCCCCAAACAATCCTACATTATATGATAACAACAGAGGTCTCTTTTTCCCTATTGTAGGTTTATTTATCCTTCCTCTTTTCCCAGCTCCTAAGGTCATGAGATTCTCTTCTTCCTAAGAGGCTGAGCTCATACTGGTCCATTACACATTAATTAGATAAGATTAGATATCCTGAGGGCCCTCTCAGTTTTGCATTTTTGTGTTGATCTGATGACTTCTAGGCTTGTTTCCTCATTTCAAAATGATGGAGTTGGACTAGGTTATCACTAAGGCCTCTTCCAGGTCTTAATTTAAGGTCCCATTTTGTTTTTTTCTTTCCTTTCCTTTCAGATCCATGTTTTTTTGTACTACCACTGCTATCATCATAGGTTAGGGCTCTTCTCTATAGGTATCACAGTAATAGTTTAACTGATCTTTCTGCCTCAAGTATCTCCTACACTTAATCCTTCACCCAGCTGCCAAAACAGTTTTTCTAATGCACATCCCAGCCAGGTCACTGCCCAATCAGAAATTAACAGTGCCTTCCTGTTGACAAGATAAAATAAAAACTGCTTAGCTTGGCAATTAAAGCCCTCTTCACAAGGGGTTAGTTCATAGTATTCCCCTCCTTGCCGATACACTTCATACATTTAAGTGAATGTTCTGTTGTCTTGTCCTGTCCCCTTTATTTCTGCATTTAAATAAGCTGCCTTCCTTTCTGCCTATTGCAATTACTACTTTAGTTGTTTAGTTGTATTAACAATTGTCACTGCAATAATTTACCTCTATGAACCCTTTGTTCTCTCCTAGCTAAAAGTTAATCACTCCTTAAATTTTCCTAGATCACGTTATCTGATCTCTCCACTGAACACTGAACTTAGTCAGAAAGACCTGAGTTCAAGGCCTCCCTTGCTTACTGTATGACCCTGGGATTAACTTGAAGATCCAATTTCTAAACTTCCTCATGTATAAAATGAGAATAGTTCCTAATTGTATGTTGTGGAGGATCAAATGAGATAATGTAAATTATAGTATTCCATGTCTCCTCTCTTTTCCCTTGCCCCTCATTAGATTTAAAATTCCTTAAGAGCAGAGACTGTTTATTCTTGTTTCTTCATTGACTGGCCCAAATATTTTGCACATATTAAAGTGCCTTACTGCTGAGTACAGAATTGCCAAAATCACAAATTAAGGCTAGAATTTGGCTTATCAAAATTGACTTTCATCTTTTTTTAAGGGTTATCTCCAGTGTTAAACAATGTTCTTTCTGAATACCCTTTCTGAATACCCTAGCTATATTCCTGTAACTTTTAGATTTAAAAAAACTTGTCGGTATGATAGAACATAAAGTTGGAAAGGATTTTAGAGAACAGAGAGGTGTAAGTGACCAGGTCACATTACTAATTGGCAAAGCCCAGATTCATATCCAGGTTCTGACTCCCAGTCCAGCACTCAGAATCTCAGATCATCAGGTCCAGTAAATCATATAGCAAATGAGATCATGTGTATAGCCTTAAAGAATTCTAGTGAAAGATGACCCTGCTACTTCACAGTCAGTACTATTCTGAATAATCCCCACTGACGTTTTATACAAAAGCTTTGTGCTATATTGTGTTAGAGATGTTAGTAATGTAACTAAAATATTAATAAGACAATTAAGGAATTGAGAACACTTAATTTGAGACTTAAAAAATAAACCGGGTTTTGAGTTCTAGCTATGCCACTTTTTAAGTTACTACCATAAGTAAATCACTGATATGAAAAATTGCTCCATATTACTAAAGGAGAACTAGAAATCTAACCAACTTGAGGTTTCAACTGGTACCCAAATTGTCAAAGACACAAATAATATTGAAAGTGCTGCAAGAAGACAGGCAAACGGATACACTTTAGTTGAAGCTGCAAATTGGTCTATCCTTTATAGAAAGCAGTTTAAAAATGTGCTTTAAAACTTAATAAAGTGTTTATCCATTTTGATTCAGCAGTTTCACTGCTAGGCATGTCAGAGACAAAAAGGGCTCAAAGTAATTGGCCATCAGTTGTGGAATGGCTAAACAAATTGTGGGATATGTGTGTGTATTAATGAAATGGTACTGCTGTTTCATAAGAAATGGTACAAAGATTTGAAGCATAAGATCAAGTGATGAGTGAAGTTAAACCAAGAAAAACCATGTAAATAGAACAAAAAAACACAACACTGTCTAATTACCAAGGGTGCAATTGGAGAGTTGAGAGAATGTACTGGGGGAAGAGAAACAATGGATATAGAATATGCATGTGCTCATCAGTGTATCTGGAATATGATGGTTTGCTGGGCAAAGGAGGAGGAATATGGTTAGGTGATAGAAAACAAAAGGCATAATGAAACTAAAGTAAAGTAGAATAAAAATTTTTTAAAAAATGTTTGGTCCTGAGAGATCAAATCTCAATAAAAATGAGGTTCTACATTGTTTCTTACATTGGCTGGGGTGGGCAGGACGTTGGTTATAGTAACAAATAACCTTAATAAAACCAATCAAGCAAAATTATTCAACAGCTATGGTAAAGAGTAGACCTGCCTCCCCAAATTAGGTTGGTTTCAGGCTCCTACCTGTAGATGAAGTTGCCAGTATACTTCAGATAGGATTCTTTTTAGGACAATTATTATTCCTTAAGAGTAAACCAGAACTGATTTTCTTTGAACTTTAATTTTTTTTTTCGTTTAACCAATACAAGGCATCCCTATCTCACTATGAATTACTATTTTGTGGATATTTTTCAACAGCAACAATATACAACTGTAAGCTTATTGTGAACACTAAAAATTTGTCTTGAAAAAGTTGAATAAATGGTCACACAAGTCTCTTCTCTTAGTGATAATTTTATTAATACAGTTTGAGTTCTTCTCTGTCCAGGAGAGAAGAGGGGCTAAAATTGGCTATGGGGTTTCTGAGTTGAAAGGATAGCAATTCTATTTGAAAATATTAAGGAATATAGTAACAACTTTTCTTCCACACCAAATTTTAATTTCCTTAATTTCTTAAAATGTTCTCAAAAAAAAAAAAAAGGCAGACTAAAATAACAGAAAGGTATGGAAGTAATTATCAGCCACTGTAACACAAAGCCATTGTACCACAAGTCTATATACTTAGAAGTTGTTAGTCTTCAGGTTAAACCACTTGTTTAAAAAGGTACTTAAAACCTTTTAGTTCTTCCTCTGAGCAAAAATACTGTAAGAACTCATAAATCTCTTACCTCCCCTAGGCTATTTATTCAACAAATCCATACAGAATACCTCCCTGCCCCCAACAATTAGATTATAGGAATGGAACAACATAGCTGCCTTAGGTTTGCTTTTTATTTCCTTCTGATAAAGGAAAGGCAAGCAAGGTAGGATTTCCTAATAAAAGCACTACACATTTTGCTGAAAAGGGATATACAAATCAAATTATATGTGTAAAAATGATTTTTTGAGGTAAGGCACTGTTGCCCAAAAGGTAAGATAGATTAGGGCTTAAATACCAGCTTGCAGTTGCATTATGCTTCCATTCTTCTCAAAGAGGATGTAACTTGCTTTTCTCGAAAATTCTTAGTAAAAAGATGACACTTAATACAAGCTCTAATAACCCTGGTAGAATGATGATACCAACCACATTTAGGAACTCTTACTTTTCCTTAGATGGTGTTCATCCTTTTGATGTCACCTCTTTCAAACCAAGTAACGGAAGTAGCCTTTTAGAGATAAAACGTGAGCAAAAAAAACAGAGCCAGGTAAAACAGTCTAGAAAATAGGAACATTTTTTTGAGAGTACCCAATGTTAGAAAGTCAGAATGGATAGTCACAAAAGCAGGTTAAAAAGTCCCAGCAGCTTAAAGGGTAAAAGATAAAAAGTTTTTCTTCAGCAAGTTCATAGTGTGCTTAATGAAAACTTTTAAGGAAAGTTGTAATTTTCCTTCAATTTGTTATTCTGAGAATGAATAAATCACAAATCAAAGCTGCTACATTTGTAGGATATAGGATCTAAAGCAAGATATCAATTCAGTTCATAAATTCTGTAATCTTTATTCTGCAGTCTTTATTCCCATTTAAATAATTCCTTAAAAGTTTGCCTGAGTTTTGGGAAGCTTGAGTCATGATTTATCACAAGTAGTCAGCTGTTCTTATAAACCAAAACAAGAAGCTTGCTCTCTAGTGCCTACTTGTGTTCACAGTTCAGGATAGTTCTTTCCATGGATCCCTGTCACCAAGGCAGCCAAAGACAAAACCTTCTATTTCATCCAGAAGACTGATTTAAAGGAAAATCAGCAGCAAAAAAAGCAAAAGCAAAGTTTTGCTTCAAATGGGCAAAATGTCCAAGCCATCCATCCATTCAGGGTTCTAACAGTTTTAAAAATTAAAACAGATTACAAGTGATATGCTGAACTGATGAGGCCTTATTTTGAAGTCTTAGTCTCAGAAGGATTTTCCCCTGTATCCAGTGTCTTTAATAATCGGAAAAGGCCTGCTGCTTCTCGTATTCGACTGAATTCAATACAGAAGGCTTGCACTTCTATGAATAAATCCTGTACATTAATTATTTTGTTGCGGATCAAAGACTGGAGAAATACACATACGAGCCGCACCAAACGATTCTGAAACAGAAACAGAAAGCTTAAGCTTTTTTAAAGCCCACCCTATTTGCCAAGGAAAGTTTTTGTAAATTTTTATTATTCACCTGCATATACTTGTCCTTGATCTGCTCACAGGTAGAGATACAATTTGATATATAAAGGTGAATAAACTCAGGAGGTAGATCAACAGCTGTCGTAAGTCTGTTGAAAAAAATGTATATAAAAGCAACGTTAAAGACAATCATAAATTAAGGTTTTTTTCTCTTTGGGTCATTCTATGAAAAGGATTTCCAGCATTATTTTAATTACACCTATGGGAATTTTCTCAAGATGTGACATTAAACCCTAAAATGTCAATTTCATGTGTTTTGTTCATCTAACAAATATTTATTGACCATATACCTTGAGCAAGGCTGTAAAGGGAAATAATACATAAAATAAATACTGTTACTATCCTCCTAAAGCACATTAGGTAAAAGGTTTTGTAAGGATTATAAAGGAAACTTTGAGCGGGGAGGGAATAAAGATGGGAATCATAGAAGGCAGCATGGAAAAAGTTATGTTTGACCTGGGTCATGAGGATTTCAACAGAAATGGGTGAGGAAGGCAAACTCCAGGCTGAGCAATGGCAAAGGGCAGAAAGTGTCATGTGTGGAACTGTGAATGTAGTTATTGGCATTATGACTCGTTAATCTATAACCAAGAATCCTGGCTACTTCCTGGCTACTTCCTGGCTACTCCTTGCAGCCTTTTCTATCCAACAAATATTGATTAAGCACTTAATAGAGACAGAGGAGAGGCCCTGCTTCTAGAACTCCATGGTGCGGACTTCTCAGCACTCTATCTCCCATCTCTATGCCTTTGCACTGTGGCCATTCTTCTATTGCTTCAATCAAGAGACAGCTCAAGCAGAACCTTCTAACATGAAGTTTTTCTGATCCCTCCAATTGCTTAATGCTTTCTCCTAAAATGCCTTCTGGCACTTTCCTTGCTCTCCATCATTATCATCACCCTCCTGGTACCACTACATAGAGAAAGAGGAGAGGGGGCAAGGGAGAGACAGTACAAAGTTGTTTTCATGTTGTCTTCCCCCATTAGAGCTCTCTAAAGAGTAGGGACTGAGGGGCAGCTAGGTGGTGCAGTGGATAGAGCACTGGCCCTGGAGTCAGGGGGACCTGCGTTCAAATCCGGCCTCACACACTTGACACTTAACTAGCTGTGTG